GCCTCCAGACAGAGGGGGGAGGAGGGAGGGTTGGATTGCTCCCTACCCTAAGATAACATCCCTTAGCCACGCCAGGCAGCCAAACCTCTACCCTGACAATTAGCAGGGGCCTTTATCAGAGACTCAATGTGTTCCTTTTTTCTAGCTGGGACACGTTTTTCTTGGAGCTCATACCTCAATCTTGGCTCCAATTCCTGACCCGAGCACCAGGCAGGGGGCCCACAGAGGGAACGAAAGGGGAGGCTCTCCTGGGGGCATGAGGGTGTCTGGTCACAAGCTGTGGATGGCCAAAGAGGAGGTGGCTGCCGCCTCGGACAGTGGGCAACCCCCCACCCCAGCCACCACCCACAACCTTGGCTGGGGTTGGCTATTCATACAAGCCACCCTTAGCCAGGCCTCTCTCCACCTAACCCTGTTCTGTCCTCTGACAGCCTAAGGGATCCCCCCTCTTGACACACTAGCCCAGAGGGAGACAACACCCACGCGACAGTGTGCCCTGAACCCTGGAAAGATGGAGAGGTTGGGAGTTAGCATCTCCGGTTCTTGACGCAGCCATGCTACAGGCTCCCCGCCCACCCATTCTCCAGCAAAGTGTCTATTGCCCTGTGCTCAACATCCTTCCAGGACCGCTGGGAGAATCACATACAAAGCCAAAAAAAAAAAAAAGAAGGAGCAATATCTAACACTTACTGAATATGTACTGTATGACAGGCATTATTATCAGCGCTTTACCTACAATAACTCGTTTAATCCTTCCAAAAACCCAATAAGTAACTACTGCTATACCTCTGGTTGAGGTGCAGGGGGCGCAGAGAAGTTAAACAACTAGCCCAAGGTCACACAGCTGATCAGTGGCCAGGGTGGGGTGGAGGGTGCCAGGAAAACAGACCAGGAGGAAGGGAAGGTCCTAGAGGTGGCTGTGGCCTGCAGGGCTCCCTGCCCACCTTGCCCACCAGACGAGGTCTCAGCCAGGCGAACACTGCCTCCCTGCCAGGCACTTTCAGCACAGGAGTCCTGCATCTAGCAGTGGCCTCTTCCCTCTCTCCTCCCAACCCAGAGCCACAAACACCACTCTGGAGCTTGCAGGTTTCACCTGATGAGGCCAGGTCCCCAGGGTCTCCTCTCCCCATTCCTGCTATCTCCCATGGACAGTGCCCTGCTCTGGTCCTTTCTTTGTTACACAAGGGTAGGTTTCCACCCTCCCCTTGGGCACTGGGGTTGGGGAAGTAAGGGGAGGTTACAAATACATTTTGAGGCTGGGGCACAATGGACAGGCATCCTCAGAGACAAGTGGGAGGGCTTCTCTCCCAGCGCCACCCTAAGGCAGTGCAAAGAAGGGACCCCTGGTCTCTTCCCAGTCCCCCAGAGGCAGAGACAGCCCCTAAGCAGAGTCGCCCCTTAAGGACTTAGATCTGAGGGGCAGCAGTGGACCCCCACCCAGGGGGCCTGATGCCTGGGTGCCTCCTCTGCCCCTGCCAACAGCTGTGCATTCCAGCCAGCCTGCCGGCCAGCCCACAAACTTTGTTGTGTGTTTCCATGTTTCTTGTGTCTTTATTTCTCTCTCTCTCTCTCTCTCTCTCTTTCCTTTTTTAAGCAGAGAAATGTTTCCTTAAAAGGCTCTCTCCTTCCCTCCGGCACCCTGGCCCCTGGCCACCCTCTCAGGAACCTGGAATGTGCCAGGGAGAGCCAGGGCCCCCTGCCACTCTGTGGCCTGTGCCCTGTGGCTCCACACTCCTGGTGGCAGCAGTGACCACTCCCACTGCCCCGTGGGGACTCAAGCAAGAATCCTCCCTCTGCAAAGGGGACAGACTCCAAGGTGTGTGCAGGGGCTCTCGATGCCAGCGCTGTCATCTATCCCCATCCCCAGGGCTGGCAGCACAGCAATGACAGGGCTCAGGCCCAAGAAGTCAGCCTCAGGTGAGCTTCCACTGTGGTGCCCCTCTAACGACCCATATACACACTGCAGGCTAAGCGGGCCTGATGTTCAGTCCTCCAACTCTAAAAAAATCTAATAACAATAAAAACTGCAGCACAGCCAGGCCAGTGGTTGTGTGTCGACACATGAACCTGGAGGTCATGGTTTGATTCCCGGTCAGGGTGCATGCCCAGGTTGTGGGCTCAATCCCCAGTAGGGGATGGGCAGGAGGCAACCGATAGAGGATTCTCTCTCATCATTGATGCTTCTATCTCTATCTCTCCCTCTCCATTCCTCTCTCTGAAATCAATAAAAACGTATTTTTTAAAAATTAAAAATTTTTTTTTAAAAGCTGTGCTGCCAATACTCCCATCACACTTGTGATAGGCCAGCACTGTTCTTCACACTTGGCATAAATTAACTCTCCAATTCTCACGGCAATCTGGAGCATCCCATTTTGTGGATAAGGCTACTGAGGCACAGAAAGGTTGATAAGCTGTCCCACAGAGGAGCCCGGGTGCAAACCCAGCAGTCTGGCTCCAGACAGAGACATGCTCCTGCCCTCTCTGCCCCCTGTGCTGACTCTTCAGTAAACACTGATTTCCACAGAGCCACCCAGGACAGCAGTAACAGAAAGCTTAAGGAATGCAGCTATGCAACTGCTGCTGTCCTGAACCCTTTCCTTAGACATATTTGATCCTAATAAAAAATGTGTGGGGTAGATACTGTTCTTATCCTCATTTCACAGATGAAGAAACTAAGGCACAGAAAGCGTAAGGATTTGCCCAAAGCCAGTGCGGCAGAGCAGTCTGGCTCCAGAGCCTGCGAGGTAGGGAGCTGGGCTGCAGCTGGGAGGTGAGTGTTACCAGGCCCAGACCAGGGCCGATGCCTGGCATTTGTCAGCCCCCACCAGGATTTTCTGAACTTCAAAAGTCCCTGGGAACAATGCCAACAACAGGGATGTGTCCTTGGAGACTCACCTCCCCCACCCTAGGGCATGAGGGTCTAAAGTGCCAGACAGCAACCAGCCCAGGCAAGGAGCTCCCTCCACGACCTGGCCCCTGCTCTCCTTTCCACTGTCATTCAGTACCCATCCTCCTTGTCCAGGACCCAAAGCCACACATAAAGGTGAGCTCCTCTCAGTCCCTTGAACGCCTGGCTCTGTTCTTCAGGGCCTCTGCCTAGGCTGTTCCCTCTGCCTGAGATGCTCTTAGCCCAGCTATGAGCATAGCTGAGTCTTTGCCCTCCTTCTGGCTTTTGCTTAGATATCATCACCCCAGACAGGCTCTCCCTGACTCCCTTAAGTTACACACACACACACCCCCATATCTCTTCCTTCACAGACCTAATTACAATTCGGAATTACAGAGGTGTTTGTTTCCTTGTCTGTAATGTTTCCTCACATAGAAAACAAGTGCCGTGAGGCAAAGAACACGTCTTGACCATCACTAGTCCCAACACATAGTAGGTGCACACTAAATATCTGTGGAAAGATGAAAGAGACTCAAGGGCTGAGGAAGAAAGGCAACTGTAAGACAGCTAGTGGTAAAATTCACTGCCATTTGTTAAGCACCTACTATGCACAGGGCAGGGGACCTAATCCTGCCATATGCATGATGTCTCTGAGATCCTGTCCCAGAGTCAGTCATTTTGCTTCCATTATACAGATGAAGAAAAGGAGGCTCGAAGGTCACGACAGTTGCCTCT